AGCTACATCTCCACCCTCTTTATAATCAAAAATTCTAAATGGTCCAGAGAAAAGTATTTCTACTCATCCTAAAAAAAAAAAAAAAAGCCACGGAGCTAGGCCTCATATCAACAAGTGCTCATAATGCACTCATTATCCCCACGTACACAGTGGTGCATTCAGCTCTTCAGTAATCAAATCATGGGAGGAGAGGAGATACCTAAGGTTCCCTTCTTGTTTCGAAGGTCTAACTCAATATCTCATTCTTGTATAAAACATGTACCAAGAAGATTCCATGTGGTCACATTCTGTTCTCTCCTATCTACAAGTTACAAAAGAGAGAAATGCCTCATCACAAAAAACCTTGATCACACCAAGACTCTGCCTAACAACACCAGTTGTAAGCGTGTCCGTTAAAGGGTTAGAATAATTTGTAAATCACTTTAAAACGCTGAGACTGAACTTCTAGAATGTTCGTGTTAGTAGAGTATGGAATGCTAAAAAGACGAAAACTCCATCAAAGTGGTCACTAATACGAGAGGATTAAATGACACAAACCTTCTTGAGAAGATACGATGGGCGGTAGGTAATCGGGAATGTATTCTTTTCTTTCCTCTGCATCTTTACTTCCGGGTTGAGGAAACTGAAGGACATTGTTCTTGCTAACAGGAAATGAAGGAATTTGATGTGGGAAAGTGACAGGTTCAATATTATGAATATAGTCTTCTAGTTCATGCAGATTAACCCCCATAAGTTGGAAGGCTTCACCAACATCATCCAAAATGGGGTCTGTTCGGCCATCTGAAACAAAGTCAAAAGCAAATCATATCACTGGAAAGAAAGTCCATGATTATTTTCAAAATATTAAAAAATATATACAGATATAGTTTGAAATAAAATTTTTTTGAGGCCAGCCTGGTATATATAATGAATTCCAGGACAGTCAAAGGGTATGTAGAGAAGCCCTATCTCAAAAAACAAACAATTTCAGTAATGCACAAAAAAAGAAAAATCATATTCATTCTTCCTCTTACTAAATAATAAGCACACATTTCACTTCTCATCAAAACCTTTATTACTGTCAGTGTAGAAACAGAACCATCTTAAATTCTACATGCCTCATAGTCTCAGTCTAACACATTCTGATGCTCCCTTTGACCCCCTTTTTTTTGCCAAAGAGTTCAGATATTTTTTTCCCCAACTGTATTTTTTTTCTATAACTACATCAGTAAAAAATGGTCTCCTGCCTGCCAGGTGTGGTGGTGCACACCTTTAATCCCAGCACTCAGATCTCTGAGTTCGAAACCAGCATGGTCAACAGATAGAGTTCCATTAAGAGCCAGGGCTACATAGAGAAACCCTGTCTCAAAAAACAAAACAGAAGAATGGTCTCCTTTAGCCTCAGAAGGCACATTATACCAACCTCAGTGGATGCTGGAAACTTGGACAATAACAAACCCACATAAACTAGTTTTTGCCTATGTATAGCTTAACTATGCTACATTTTAATTTATACATTAGGCACAGTGAGACACTACAACCAGTGACAAGATAGAAAAATCACAATATACTTTTAAAAAGTGATTTAAGATTTATGAAATGTTCATTTTTTTATACTATTCTAACCATGACTAGGATAGCTAAAAAGTTGTTATGTGGTTCAATGAGTGATTTATTGAGATAAGATCTGGATATAGTATTCACTGACACAGAACTCATTATATCAAACAGCTTAGCCCCAAACTCACAGTGACCCTCCTGTCTCAGCCTTCTGTGTGCTGGGAGTACAGGAGTGAACCACGATGTCTGCAGGGGAGCTTTGGAAGGTAAAAGGGCAGACAAAGCAGAGCTGTGGCTTCGAGTTCTACCTACTCGACACGTCAATGACAGAACAATTTTCTTAAAATACTCTTTCCCAGGAGACAAACTGATTATATTCATATTCTGCATAAATGCTAATGTTCTAACCGATTGGAGCACCCTGATTGTAATTGTATTACCATAAGGTAGGGACAAAATAGTATAGACACTCAGGAAACAGTTGTCTAGTAAATGAGTGGATAGTCTACAACCCTACAATCTAAAACTGTCTGTTTAAATAAGCATTTCTAACAAGTCACCAAACCCAAATGGGGAGCAATGAACCTGACAATCAAAATCTCATAAAAAGGAGGGGTGGAGGCTGGGGGAGGGAAGAAAACTGACTGCAGAAAAAAATGGGTAATTAAGAAAAAGGTTCATATTGGATATGATGACCCATATCTTTAATACCAGCACTCATGAGGCAGAAACAGATGGATCTCTGTGAGTTTGAGGCCTTCCTACATAGAGCTGTAGGAAGCTAGGGGTATGTAGAGAGACCCTGCCTCAAAAATAAAATACAATAGAAAAAGAAAGAAAGCACAATGGTCCCTTGGCCACTTTGGAATGCTTAAATCCATGAACTCTTTGGCATGAAAGGTAAACATGCATTCAGGGGATATTCTGAAAACTCAAAAGGTACACAACATCTTCCTTTAGTTCAGGAACTAGGTAACAAAATATAATATCTTAAACATAATAGTAACAATATACTCAAGGACAACGGAGGAGGGGCTTGAAGGCAAAGAAGCAAAGGCTAGAAAATCATTCTGCCATGGCATATTTTCAAGGTGCAATTGAATGAATACCACTTTGGGATTCCCTAGTTAGAAAAGCAAGCACTCCAAAAAAGTGCATTTTAGGAACTTATTCAGTAAGTAGCCACTATTTGTAGACTATCCACTCATTTACTAGACAACTGTTTCCTGAGTTTCTATACTAATTTGGCCACACCCTAGGGTAATACAAATACAATCAGCATGCTCCAATCAGTTAGCATATTAGGTACTTATGCAGAATATGAATATAATCCATTTGGCTCCTGGGACAGGGTACATATATGCACACACAATTACAGAGCAAGATGATAAATAGCACAAGAGAAATATGCACAGGATTATGACAGCCGATAACACAAATTCCCCAGAGCAAGTGATAAGTAAATCTCAAAATGTAAGTGGTACTGCTGGTGGGCCAGAAGGACATTCAGTAAAACAGTGTGTGAATGGGAGTGGATAGCTTCAAATGTGTTGGAAAACTCAAGTACCACAGCATGGTTGCAGATTAGTATGTTAGGGCAGCAGAAGATAAGAAAAAATGCTAGCTCACAAAGGGAACTGTGTGCTGCTAAGATTTTTAGATGGTAGCAAATGGAACACAATCTAAATACTTTTAAAAAGATGACTGGCAGGATGAGATTTATATCATGGACAGGATCTGATTTGTGTTGGGGTTTGATTATTTGGGTAGGAATGGCATTTGTAATCTTAAAGTACAATTAATCTATCTATATAGGTCTTAATTTTAAAGGTAGGAACCACTTTAGCAGAACAAAGTACTCTATAAAACACATTTAGTTCTACAACTTACTACTTTAAAAGTCTTATGGCTGGCCAAGCGGTGATGACACATGCCTTTAATGCACTTGGGATTCAAAGGCAGGCGGATCTCTGTAAGTTCGAAGCCAGCCTGGTCTACAGAGCTAGTTCCAGACATGGCTACATAGAGAAGCCCTGTCTCAACACTCCCCCTCCCCCCAAAAGAGTCATATCATGACATTTAAATGAATGATATAACCAATACAACACACACACACACACACACACACACACACACATACACGCATGGCTTCACACATCAATAAAAATATCTGTAGCTTTTATTAAAACGCTCCTAATTATTAAATACTCCCGGCTAGAGATATTATTGGGCATTCACTTAAAAGCAAATAGATACTGCAGCCTTGATTACCCGGGAAACCTTGCAAATTACCTATGATCCCTTCCATCACACTTCGATCAACACTGACATAAAGACATAAAGACATAAAGGAGGGACTCCGTGCGTAACTGAGATGCTTGTCAAAGTTATTCAGCGAAATCGACAAAGCTGGCTTGTAAAGTACCAAGTAGAGATGCTGTCTGTGAAACGAACAGATGCCGAAAAAAGAGGCAACGACCCTGACTGAGCAGAGCTGTCAACGAGTCTAGTTAGGAGCTCAAGAATGGCCAGCCTTGTAAGAAACGGCCGGTAGACGGAGCGCCTGTGACAACTAGTTGTAGTAGTTTGCGGGCAAGGGAGGCAAAAGAGCAAGGTGAGCGAGGTGGAGAGCATTCTGGGGTGGCTCTGGCCGCAGCAGACCCGAGACAATGAGAGAGAGCGAAGCACCATTCCAGGACCAGGAGAGGTGAGAGGGTGTGGAGCTGCAAGCCGGGACCCTGCTTCCCCGCTGGTGGCGGGAAGTTAGCGGATGAGGAAGAGGCACCTAAGGGATGACTGGAGTTCGCAGGGGACGGTGGAAGCCCAGGACCATCCGAGTCTGAGAGGATCGCCCATCTCGAAGCCGGATTCGGAACGCCACCCCTGGAGGGGACGCCCAAAGGGGGCCGGGGGGGCTGAGGTGTCACTCGTGACCGGCTTGGGGGCAGCCCTCCCGCAACCCAGCCCCAGTACTCACAGAGTTCAGAGTACCGATGGCAGCCTCGGCCCAGCTGCTGCAGATAGCGCTGCAGGACGTCGGTGAGGAGGTGGCAGGCACTGAGCTGCACCGAGTCCCAGCCCAGCGCCTGGCAGATCTGCGCCACCGAGACCCTCAACAACGACCTGGAGTAACTCTCGCACATCCCGCTGCGTGGACGCCACCGCAGCCCTTTGCTGCCACTGCTTTCCAGCCCCGCCGTCTCGCCTCAGCAGAGCCCCCGATTCATTCTCTGGGGGCCCCGCGGCGGGGAAATCGTCCCCCCTCCGGCCCCCGGCGACCACCTCAAAGCCTCAGCAGCACGGAGCGCGCCAGCCTGAGAGCCGCCATTTTGGACTCGCTCCGCCTCCCGCTGGACGGCCGCCGGGGCGAGGCAGCACAAGCAGAATGCCGAGAGGGAGGAGGCGCAGGCTCCGCCCCGTGGGAGCGGAGCGATAGTCTCGAGATCGACTCTAGGGCCTGGAAACCGGCCGGAAGCCGAGCGACTGGGCGCAGGTGGAGTATGCGCCTCCCTGACAACAGGTGTCAGGGTCTTTCTCTCCCGACTGGCAGAAAAGTAAGAGGTGAACGTCAATGTATTCAGGGGCAAACCACGGAGGCAATGTGTGACACTGGAATGTCAAAGAATTAATAATTAATAATGTTGATAGAGATTTAAATGTGAAACGAGGGGATTGGGACTTTAAGCTACTCCCCAAAACGTGGATTCGATTCAGTCTTTCTTTGCCAAAATAAAATAAAAAATAAAATAAAATGTAAGATAATATCCAAAATGAAATAGAATAAAAGGCAACGGTTGCTTGCCACTGTGAGGTCTGAATGAAATCCAAAGAATTCACTCAGAAGGCTGAGGCAGAAGAATTGTAAGTTAGAGGCCAACCTGAGCCACGGAGAAAGACTTCGTCTCCAAAAAGCAAACTAAGCTAGTAAATTCAAGTTGTTCGTTGTATTATTCAATGCCCTTCGTGATAGAGCTGGGATTAAGGGGCAGAAGGCCTCCGTGCTCAATTAATGAGAACCGTCTTGCCCCTTAAAGTAGTGAGCAAAATAAATACTATTTTAGTGCAGGTTTCTGTTCTTTCTTTTAAAACAGCTAAGTTCTGATTTGCACCTTACTAACCACGGTAGTCTATCCAGGGTGTGGGGTACACAGTATCTGACAGAGGTTGAACACTCATCTAAATCCTTAAGATTGGTTGGGTCCGGAGAATAGTTATGTTGTCTTTCTCAGAACCTTCTCCCAACACTAGCTGAATTTTGCCTCATGTTTGCACAATACCAGAAACTGAGATGTTTTGATAAAATAGCTTGGTTTTAAATAGTGAGATTTCCCCCCTCTTTTGAGTCTCAATTTTGTTATGTTGTCAGGACTGTGATTAAACTCTTGAGCTGAAGTGATCCTTCCACGTCAGCCTTCATGGTAGCTGGAACTTAAGGTGTCTACTCGTGGACCCTGGTCATGGGGGATGCAGTGCTGTAGAATATTATTTTAAGATGTATTACATTTATTTATGCTGTGGAACATTTGTTTAATGATGCAAAGATGTGTTGCATTCTTTTATGTTGCATTTAAATTTAACTCTGTGAAGCTGTGTTACTGTGCCTGTCTAAAACACCTGATGGTCTAATAAAGAGCTGAACGGTCAATAGCGAGGCAGGGAAAAGGATAGGTGGGGCTGGCAGGCAGAGAGACTAAAGAGAAAGAGAAATCTGGGAAAAAGAAGTAGGACCGAGAGGAAGGAAGAAGACACTAAGGGCCAGCCACCCACCAGCCATGGAGTAAGAGTGAAAGTAAGATTACAGAAGTAAGAAAAGGAAAAGGCCCAGAGACAAAAGATAGAGGGGATAATTTTAGAAAAGCTGGCAAGAAATAAGCCAAGCTAAGGCTGGGCATTTATAAGTAAAAATAAGTCTCTATGTGATTTATTTGGGAGCTGGGTGGCGGGCCCATCAAAAGAGTAAGAAAAACCAACAACATTTTGGTGCCCAATGTCATGCTAGAGTAAAAGAAAATCCAACTACAGTGCATTATAAAAGATTCAGTTTGCTAGCCAAACTATTCCAAAGGACTAGTTAGCCTATCCAAATCTAGTTTGTCTATATTTAGCCTGTGAGTAACCAGGTTGTCATGGCTCATCTACTTTATTTCTTAGCTGTGCCTATTGTACCTAACATTGCATATTAGGTCTATAACTTTATGTAGCTCCTCCGATGAATTGTTTCTGGGTAGCTGTGATGCCTATTCTTAGTTGTCAACTCAACTTAATCTGGAATTGCCCAAAACCCATCTATGAGAAATTTTTTTCTTTTTCTTTTTCTTTCTTTCTTTCTTTCTTTCTTTCTTTCTTTCTTTCTTTCTTTCTTTCTTTCTTTCTTTTTTATGGTTTTTCAAGATAGAGTTTCTCTATGTAGCTTTGGTGCCTTTCCTGGAACTCACTCTGTAGCCCAGGCTGGCCTTGTGGCCTTGAACTCACAGAGATCCGCCTGGCTCTGTCTCCCAAGTTCTGAGATTAAAGGCATGCACCACCACTGCTTGGCAGAAATTTTTTTTCTTAATTAAATCATTTGAAGTGGGAAGACCCCCTTCTAATCTGGATCTTTGAGGTAGGAAGATCCTCCTTTAATCCAGATCTTTTGAGGTGGGAAGATTCACCTTTAACCTGGGCCACACCTTCTGCCTGTAGCCTCTATGTGGAAGAAGACAGCTTGCTCTCTCTTGGCCTACTTGCCCTCACTCTAGCTGGCAGGTCCATTCCTTCACTGCAGTAGAATTGCCTTAGGATTCTGGACTATACTGAAGACCAGCTGAAACATCCAGCCTCATGGACTGAACAACTGCTGAGTTCATGGACCTTCCGCTGGTAGATGGCCATTGTTGGATTAGCTGGACCACAGCCTGTAAGCCGTTCTAATAAACCCCTTTTCATACATCCAGAACATACTTTATTTTTAAGTCTTGAAAGCCCAGTAAGTCTGAAAATATGGTGCTTTTGACAAATAACAATCTGTAGGGAAGCACAACATACTAGGTCCATTGGCACTTCCGTATCTAAGATTATCAGGAACCTTTCTGATGCAAAATCTCTAGGATACTTTTCACTCCTCGCCTTACTTGAACATTTTTTATTTTTTGTTTCTTCAAGACAGGGTTACTGTGTAGACAAGGCTGGCCTTGAACTCAGAGATCCACCTGCCTTTGCCTCCTAAGTTCTGGGACTAAAGACATGTGCCACCACACCTAGCTCATTTTTATTATTAGATAATATTGAATACTTCTTTAATTTAAAACTCAGACCTTGGATTTCACCCCCCACTACTTCTTTATTTGCCTGTGTGGTGGAATAATGTCAAAACTACAAAAAAAAAACCCTGAAATAAACATAAATAACTTCATCTGGATTTAACAATTAACATTTTGCCACATTTATTATATATGAATATTTTTAATTTACTTATACTCACTTTTTCCAAGAATAGTTTGGAAATAAGTTACAAACCTCATGACACTTAACTCTGAAAAACTTGAGCATTTATCATCCCAAACCAGCATATTTCCCTGTATAACCATATGTATGACCATATGTCCACAACTTTGGTTTCCCAGGAAGCCAAGTGTGGGATGGAGCGAACTCTACAGCAGGTTTATCTAGGAGCACTCCTGGGACACCAAATGTGGGAGGGAAGGAGTGGGAGCCAGGCAGATGCACTGTCAAGGAAGCCTCAGCCAATTTCAGAGTACTTGCTGAAACTACTGGACCTTTACAATGCCAAATTCATAGGTCACTTTGTGGAGACTTTCCAGGAAAGGGTGTGTGCTCTTAGGGTAATGTGCTGTCTATAGCTGAGTCAGTTCTAAGGCTGAAGTCCTTCAGGACCGAGGAGCTCTGGGTAGTGTATTATAACATTCAGCACAGTCCAGCCGTTTCCGCTCTGGCCTCCCTCTTGGTCTAAGTTTGATGAGCAGCTCTTCCATAGGTCACAGTGGGGGATCTTTTCTCCTGAGAATACCATTAAAAAAGAAGACTGGGAGATGTCACCATTATACCTGCTGCAGATGGCCAACTTTGTTTTAGGTGGCTTGCTTAGGCCTCATGTGTAAGGGTTCTGAGTCCTTGGTTTCCTTGCCCTTTCTAGAATGTGGCTTCTGACCTTGTCAGTTACCACCAAAATTGAACAAAAGCACCTAAACAGACCACTAGTAAGGCAAATAGTGTCTACTGTCCACTGTGATAACAGCTCAACCTTCTATAATCAAGATCAGTGGCTGCTGTCTCTTCGCTGAAATACCCAAGTAGTATGTATTGCCTTTATTCTAGCAGGACTTGTATGTGTCCCCTGGTGAAACCATAAGCCTAGAGAACTCTGGATTGTAGGGATTGGAACAATTACCTAAGTAAGTTCCTGGGAGTGATGGCAAGTGGAGAAACTTCAGCCTCCACCCCATGTTATCTACCTGTTGAGAACCCAGCTCCAAAAAAAAAAAAAAAAAAAAAAGCTATTGAGCTAAATAAAGTATATCCAGCATCCTCAGAGATTGTACCCATCTTCACAAAGTATTCTCTGTAAGCTTGTGCTTTAGCAGAGCCTACAAAAGGCCACAACATATCTGCCAGCATAGTAGCTTCTGAGTGGTATAGGACATTAACAGTGGATTTCATACCCAAACACTCTGTTGTAAAACAGGTCCTTGTGGATGGTTGCAGCATGACATGGGTCACCAATTGTGGTTTGGATGAGAATACCACCCCATAGGGTTATATATTTGAGTAATTGTTCCCCAGTTGATAGAAATGTTCTGGAAGGATTAGAAGGTGTGGCTTTGTTGGAGGAGGTATATCACTGGTATGGGCTTTAAAATTTCGAAAGCCCATGCTATTCCCAGTTAGCATTCTCTCTCTGCCTCAAGCTTGTTGATCAGATGTAAGCTCTTAGCTACTGCTCCAATGTCATGTCTGCCCGCCTGCTGCCATACTCCCAGCCACGATGGGCATGGACTCTAACCCTCTGTAACTGTGAATCCTCAAGTTAAATGCTCTCTTTTATAAATTGCTTTGAACATAGTATTTTGTCATGTCAATGGAAAAGTAACTAAGACACAAGTGAATCAGAAACCATGAGCAAGAATGTTCACTCCAGAGTATGGTGTCTGTTTCTTAGCAACACCATGGCTGCTCTTTCTAGGATTCAAAGGCCAGATGCAGTCACCTTGTTCTTTTTGGAAAGCCTCAAAGGTTTTGTTTGGCAGTTTTTGTATTTTTATTTTTTGAGACAGTATTTCTCTGTGTGGCTTTGGCTGTCCTAGAACTCACTCTGTAGACCAGGCTGGCCTCAAACTCACAGAGATCCACTTGCTTCTGCCTCTCGAGTGCTGGGATTGAAGGCGTGCATCACCACTGCCACTGGCTCTCGAGCTTCTATAACACAGTTCTGCAGCCTGGTTGTGTCTTACAGTTTTGCAGGCCAACATGTTTGGTTGTTCCTGGGACCTTTCTCCCTGGATTACAGACTGCTGCCTCCTCTTGGTGACCTCTTAGGACCTTTGTCTCTGTATGTACATCCCTTATTTCTCTTCCATTTCTTAAAAGGAAGGATAGCTAGTCCAGTGAACAAGAACTCCATCCTTATAAGATTTTTATATTACCACTTTATCTTATCCATTGAATTTATTTGTGTGTGTATGTATGTACACGTGTATGTGTGCATACCTGCCACATTATATATTTGGAAATTAGAGGACAACTTTTGGGGACTAGTTCTTACTTAACATTTGGGTCCCAGGGATCAAACTCAAGACTTAAGTTTTGGCTGTAAGTGCCCTCACCAACTGAGCCATCTCGCTAGCTGAACATCATTTCTTTAAAGGCCTTATCTCAGCCTGGTGTGCATGCTTTTAATCTCATCACTGGGGAGGCAGAGGCAGGTGGATCCCTGTGAGTTTGAGGCCAGTGAGACTCTGTCTCACAGCAAATAAACAAAACAACACCCAAAAACCTAACCTGAAAGCCCTTATCTCCAAATCCAGTCACATTTGTATACCTGAGGGTGAGGTTTCACAATCATATTAGAAGGAGACACAGCTAGCTCAGGTCATCACAGAAAACAGCTTTAGTTTATGTTGCAAGAAAGTGCCCTAGAGATTTGCAATGCTCTTGCTCCTAAAGAAGCTTTACTAGCCAGTGACATCATGGTACAGTCCCATTCCACTTGTGACTTAATCTGCCGCTTAAGCCATTCCATCCATGAAAGGAGCTTGGCTTTTTCTCCTCCCCATCAGCAGGGCATGAAGAACGGTGATGTGACCATTGTTTTTGGTGAGGAAGAAGTGTGTGCTGGTGCAACATTAACAAAGGCAAGTGGAGGTTGGCCTCCCTTCTCAGGCAGCTTGCTTGTGCTGTGGACCCTGATCATGGATTCTGGATGCACAGTCTTATTGAGTGCAAGGGAACAAAAAAATTCTGAGACAGATTCTGTGTATTCCTGGCTGTCCTGGCACTCACTATGTAGACCAGGTTGGCTTCAAGTCACAGCGGTCCTCCTACCTCTGTCTCCATGCCACCATGGCCAGCCTAGTGTGCGAAGTTTTGACTTGGTAGTTTTATCACATCTAGCTTGTAGTGAATAGCACTGACTTTACGGTTACTTGCTGTCCTGCCTCCAGACACTTCATCTCTACTTTAGCCTGGTAGCATGGTCGGTGTTTCTCCAAGGGTATATAATTCTTACACAGAAGACCATGTGTGTTCCCCTGCACTATACACAATATACCACACATACCATGGCCTTATTTCAGAATCCTGGGGCTCTGTGTTGTCGTTTACCCTTTAAGGCTTGTCATAAACCCCACAGGATTACTACCCATCTCGGGTGCCTCTAATACTACAGTCTACCATGGTACCTGGCTCTTGACAGATGCCTGAACTTATGTAGCCCTTCCCTATCCTGGACCTCAACTCAAACTCGGAGCCTTTTATGCCATCAGTGTGTGGTTCAGGGAGAATTTCTAAGTATGACACATTCTACTTCCAGATGCCATAGAAGCCACCTGGCATGGTGCTTCTTCACACTGGAATGTGTAAGAGGCAATCCTTTACTTACCTGTGACTTTGTAGGAGATGCACCCCTGTGAGTCAGACCATAAAATACCTAAAAATCTTACTCATGTGGCTGAGCCCTGAGTCCTTGTAGACTCTCTCCCTCTCTTCCTTTCCCTCCCCCCTTTTGTCAGAGCCTTGGAGGTCAGCAAGAACTCTTGATCTCTCACATCTAGTATAGAGTACTGAGCAGATAATCAATAATCAATAAATAAGGCCTCTTGCAACAATTCATCTTCCCATAAAATGGGGAAGTCTACAACTCAGTAAATTGAATTTCTCCCTTTTTTTGGAGAGTGTCACAATGTAGCCCTAGCTGGCCTGGAACTTGCTTTGTAGGCTGACATTGAACTCAAAACTCAGAGACCCTCCTGCCTCTGCCTCCAGGTGCTGGGATTAACCAAGCTTGGCTGGATGATATACTTTAAAGGGTGAATTGTATGGCAAGCGACTTGTATCTCAGTAAAGCTGCTATTTTCAAACAGGAAGTTTAGAAGCATGAACTCTTCTCTCTCATCTCTCTCCTCTGTCTATGGTACTGGGATTAAACCTATGATGTTCCACTTGCTAGGCACCGAGCTATAAACCCAGTCAGTCCATTAGCACATGATGTTAAGTGCAATAGAACTTAAATGTCTGTAGACAATAAAAGCAGACTTCTGAGTCCCAGTCCCCATCATTCTTTTCATAGAAGAAAAGAGCTGAGGATAAAATGACAAAACCTTATACTGAAATAAAAGCAGTACTCAGCTAGATATAATTCCAGTATTTAGTAAGGTTTAGGAAGGAGGATCAAGAGTCCCAGGCCAGACCAAGCTGCATTAGTAAGTTCAAAGATAGCCTAGTTTCGAGCAAGACTATTTCAAAAACAACACAGTGGGCTGGAGAGATGGTTTAGATGGCTCACTGGCTGTTCTTGCAGAGGACCCTGGTTCAATCCCCAGCACCTACATGATTGCTCCGTAACTCTCATCAGAAAAAAAATAATTTTTTTTTTTCCCCACTAGGATCAAGAGGGCAGAAGGGACAAGAGGAAAATAGCAACTATTCTGAAGCTGGAGCCTTGCCCGTGTACCAGTCCCCTCTCCAGTCTTAGGAAAACAGTCAGAGGTTTGTTGTCTGGAGAATTAACAACAGTTTGTAGGTCATGAGTTTTGCTTGTACAGGTGCTGGCCAGAAGAGTAAGACTTTACTATGGTTGAGCTCTTAGCTGCTTCTCCATCCTTCACCCCATAGCTAACCTCCAAATCTTCACTCTCCAGAAAGGAGTTGGGAAGAATCTGCTAAGACCTGAAGATACTCATATGGGTAGTGGTCCAGTAAACAACCCAGCTGGGGGGAGGGGCTTGGTCCTGCCTCAACTGAATGTACCAGGCTTTGCTGACTCCCCATGGGAGGACTTACCCTTTCAAGGAGAGGATGGCGGATGGGAAGGGACAGATGGGAGGGAGCAGGAGGATAGATGAGAGGGGGAATCTATGGTTGGTATGTAAAATGAATAATTTAAATAAAAAAACCAACTAGACCATGGTCACCAATATATTCATAAGTATATAGATTTTATTATTGTTTAATGATATATTTACATATATGGGTTTTTGTCTGCATGTATGTCTGCCTACCAGAAGAGGGCATCGGAGCCTATGGGTCCACAGTTGTAGATGGTTGTGAGCCACCATGTGGGTGCTAGGGAATTGAACTCAGGTCTTCTGGAACAAAAGTTGGTAGATCAAACAGGACCAAGTTAATAAACATGTTTTTGTTTTATATTTTATAGGATTGTATAAAATAAAACAAAAATGAATGTGCAGCAGAGACCTTATGGCCCAGAAGGCCTAAAGTATTTACCATATGGCTCTTTATGAAAGTTACCAAGCCTCTGGAACATGAGAACTAGCCACTATGCAGAAAAAACAAACTTAATTATTAATAGTAAAATTAATGTTTTAAGGAATTACAATACAGAGGAGAGAAATGATTGCAGCAGACTTACTGGAAAAGATTGGAGAACATACAAAGGGGAAAATTACAAATCAATGTAAAAAACAGGTTCTGGAAAGTGGAGAGGTGGTGGGAAGAATCCATCAGTGAAATGGGGATGAGAATATCTGCCCTCTACCATGTCATTTTTCTCCCTCGGTTCCCACAGCTGAATCTGGGTGTTCAATACAGTGCACATAAAGGAAAGAAGGAAGGGAGGGTCACATCAAGACTATCCTTCAGAATTATCAGGACAGAAACCTAAATGCTTTGGGGGTGGGGGTGGAGCTGAGGGTGTGGCTTGATTGTCATGTGTGACTGTGTGTGTTCCTCTGCACTATATACAACATACAGCTTTCAGAGGATTATCATGGATGAAATGGCTCCAAGACCTGAACAGTCATTTGGAAGCCTGAGGACTAAAGTCTAAAACCTTAGGGAAACCAATTTCTAACCATACCCAGGAAAAGAAATTGGTAAATGTGAGGATAGCATAGACATTGAGAACACAGTCCTTCAAATGTGTGTCACCAGAAGTAACAGTAATGACGCCCTCATCAGAAATGCCAGCAATCTTCAAGGTGCTGTGCCCTACAGACCACTTGTAGCAATGGAGAACCTGTGCCTGAAGCTACTGAGGCTGTTAGTAAGGCTCACTGTGAACTTAGGGACCCTACTGCCTGCCTCAGCCTCTCAGAGCTGGGATTGCAGGGTGACTCTCCTGGCCCCACTGTTCTCTTCTGAACCTAGGTGTTCTGCCTGAGGTCAGGCTGACACAGGTTATTCTTAAATATGTCAAAAGTTCTGTTTTTTCTCCTTAGTGTTGTCTGGGACACAAGATTGCCCTCAGTGTCCCACTGTCCTGGAAGTGGAAGGTGAACTAAATTGTCAGCAAGTCCTGAAGAGATGGAAGCCTGAGAGCACCCAGGTGTCCTGAGGACAGTGGAGGACCCAGGACCCTTTCCTGACAGTCACTGTCCCATTCACAGGGGGCGAAATCACTTCTCTAGAAAGTACTCATCTCTTTACCAGTTTCCTTACCAATCACTCCCCCCACCCCCAGTTTGGTAATATAGTTTTTTTTTTTTGGGAAAAAAAAAGATTTTAAGAACTTCAAGCTTAAGCACTCCCCCCCCCCCCCCCCCCCCCCCTTTGAGACAGCCCTGTCCTGGAACTCGCTTTGTAGACCAGGCTGGCCTCAAACTCAGAGATCCAACCTGTCTCTGCCTCCCCAAGTGCTGGGATTAAAGGCGTGCGCCACCACCACCTGGCTGCACTTCTTATAGCTTTTAAGTGAAGAGTAAAGTATGGCTTTTATGATTTTTCAGGATCCCTGTATTACTTTCACAATAAACTTTCAGTGCCATTACATTTAAGGCACAAAATAATCTCAATGAGGTTTTTCCCACAGCTACTACATCGTGCCTTGCTCTTGTTCACTCTCCCCAGTGCCCCAGTCCACATCCAATAGCCTCCCGTTCTCATCACACACACATTTGGTCTTTCCTATTACCGTTTCCTCCTCCCATTTAGTTCCTCTTCTACTTTCATGTCCTAAGCAGGTGCATGTATATATTTGGAACTAAAATTGGAATCCTGAAAGGAAACTGCTCTTTCTGACTTTCTTCACTTACGATTCCAGTTCCATTGTGACGGGTACATTTTATTCATTCATCTGTTGGTGGACATATAGGCTGGTGCGGTACTTTAACTACTGTCAATAGTGCAGCAGTAAACATGGGTATGCAAACAATTTTGAGGTACGCTAACAGATTCCTTTGGATACACATTCCTTTGGATACACAGGAGTGGGACACAACTGGATCATATAGTAGTGTGTTTTTTGTTGTTGTTTTGATGAACCTTTATACTGATTTCCACAGTGGCTTTAAGTGCCTTACTTTAAACAAATAGAAAATCCCTGACATTTTGGTATGGCCAACATAGTACATGGAATCACTTTAGACATTTAAGTTTATGCTACAAGTACAAAGATTCTCGAGGAGGCCAGAATACAGACTGAATCTCTGGAGCTGGAGCTACTGGGAAGCAAACTCAGGTTCCCTGAAGAGCAGCAAGCATTCTCAAGCACTAAACTATCTCCCCAGCCTTCCAAATCTTAACAATCATCTATATGAAACATACTTGCCTTCTCAATGCATGCAAATGTTATTTAAAGAACTACTGGAAAAAATATAAATATATATACATATATACATACATACATATATATATCCCCCCCCCCCCGAATTCTGTAGCATTTTTGTGAAAAACAGTAAGTGCCCCCAGTAGCATTATAACTGCATTTTCCCCAGCAGGTCTTTAAAACTACAGAGGAATAGCAGCCTGGGAAACTGACCTGCAAGTATTCCTGCCTTGGTCCCAGAGTCTAGACTGTTGAAGGTTGGCAGAAAACTTTAAATGAGAGTTTCTGAAATTAACGGTGCAATGTTAGTATTTTCAAACATTTAGCATTATCTCCTTTTGAAAACATTTTATTAATAATAATGAGACTGATTTTCTCATTGTAAGTTGTTTATTGTAAGATAATTTACAAACATCTTGCTGTCTTTGTAACTCAGTAGACCAAGTTTCTTCTGACAAAGAAAGCAATCAGTTAAAATCAGCTTGCTGTTTTCCTTTACCTGAAAAACAGTATAGAACAACCAGGAGTCAAACAGGATGCTTTCTGGAAAATAAGGACGAACCACCTTACATAGGGTGCAAGGAACTGCATTTACATAGTAAGATGTAGGTGCTTCTCAAATTCTGGTCTATGGGACTCTGGGAATTAATGAGGGCAAACTGGTTTCATTCTCATTCCCACTCACAAGTAAATGACTCTTTCTCCAGAGGCTACACAAAACACAACAGAATGAAGAGAGGAGACTCTCCTATAAACCAGACGTTAGGAGTTCGAGACCATAAGGTTTGAGAACCACTGTTCTCACTAACCTACCTTTAATACTTACAATTCAAGGTCTCTATGTCTACAATTATTTCCTTATATCTACACTCTCTAGAGCACATTCAATGTAAAATAACACTTTAAAAAGCTCACCAGTACCACCCACACTTAGCTCTGCCCCTATCCAGTATTGCCCAAACACACCCACTGGCTAGCTGTATTATGAATCAGCCTGCCCATCTAGCCTCTCTGAGAGAAGCAATTTCATCACTGCTATGTTGGCTTTGGTAATACCTGGCTAGTTTTCTTTGCTGAAGGCTTAGGGGAAGAATGTGTGAATTTTACCTCTTATCTTCAGATGCAACTTGATTTTCATTAATCCCTGGTTATTATATTAGAAGAAAAAGAGCATAAAACAAGCAGGTTAAGAAGCAATCCATGCTAGTTAACTACAGACCATTTCTTTGCATGTTACTCTGAGCATACAATGCAAATAGTTACACATAATCTTTAACACAACCCAGTGATACAAGATGTCAGATTCCAATGTAGTCAGAGACAATAAAAAACTGTTCACATAAATAGGCAAGACTCTTAAAAACAAAAAAACAAAAACAGCAAAACAAAACAGAAACCAAATAGGCAAGACAACATGTAATTTTCTATCTCAAAATAACACACATGAAAAACATTTTAAGCTGACAATGTAAGTATGATTTATTCATGCTTTTCATTTTATCACTAAATAGCCAATGTTTGTATTAAAATTTGAACTACAATCTCTGATAGGTTACAGAGCATGCAAATCCATTCATAAAAGTGATACACTGTTGAGACTGCACAAGTAACTTTTTAAAGTAAGGGCTTAGATTATCTAGAAAGTAAAAATACATTTCCAATGAGATTACTTTTTAAAATTCTCAGTTTAATGACCCAATTCCCATGTTCTCATTTTCCTAGTTTAAGTGAGATTTCTCACATTTTAAGCAAGAAAAAAGGCCCAGTCCTGTGCAGAATTTATATTCTCACAGTTCATATCTAATACCCCCTTTTCGGAGTCAAACAGAGTATTGTAACCATGTTTATAAACGGTACATCAAGATGCCATATTGTGTGATGCTAACAGGCAAGGATGACCAGGCTGGGAGGTGGGTCAGTCCTAACAAAGCTATGTTCAGAGAAAAAAAAAACAGTTAAGGAACAGGATGCTCAGGATGGCAAAGATGATGAAGTCAAGTTGCAACTTTTATCATATTCTATTGGCTCAATCAGTTTCAGAACACTGTCCCCTCAGAGGCTCAAGGAGGACAGGGATCAGTCAATTCCTAGTAAAATGGCGTAAGTGCAAAGACCAAGATGCTAAGAGATACCTCACTCAGACTATGAAGGATAGTCTTTTCAAAGAAAAGATCCCTCTAGCCCAGTCAAGGAGGATAAACAAGTGTCAGATGAAGAATGAATGGAACAGAAGAGAAGAACCGAAGCCCAGGAAAACCCTTGGGTAGTTCCTTGGAGGTGAGAAACAGCATGATGTGTTTAAAGATCTGGAAAGACCGAGGGCTAAGATCCAAGCAAACAAGTAACTATTCAATATTATACTGGCAAGGGTGCTGATGGTCAGAAAATACAGGATCACATACAATAAACTAGACTATTTTTTGCAGATTGATTCTATGAAAAGCCAGCAAGGAAGTATTTTAGGCCTTGTGAGCCATATACTGTTTTTTTAAAAACTCTTTAAAATTTAAGACATGGCCCTGGGCCACAGTTTTCTAGCTCCATAATTTTGCATTGTCTTCTTTAATACCTGTTTTCCTCTGTCAAGGTAGTGACTTCTCTAAAAATAAACACTGCCTCCACTACATCTTGAGGGTCTGGTAAGCCAAGCCTATGATCCCAGCTACTAAGGGAATGGAGAGAGAAGGTAGCTTAAGCCTAGGAGTTTGAGACTAGCTTGGGCAACACAGTAAAACCCCATCTCCAGCAAACTCTTTTGTAATTTGAAATGACAATAACCCGTAGTATGTGGGCAGGAAGAAAATAAAGAGTAAAGAGGGATTTACAAGTTAAACTCAGAGACCTTGGTGAGCAATCAGGAGGAGGAGGTTAAGACTCAGTGAGCCAAAGGCAATATACTACACACTTCATCTGTCATAACTGCCTTGTACCTGGCAGACTTGCACCAAGTTGATGTCCAGTTAATTTCTCAACAATCCAGAGACTTTTCTGGAGGAAAGCGTATGCTATTTTATGGTACCAACATAGAATATTTAATAATTTAAAATTCCAATCACTCAGTAATTAATAGAATTATATAAAAATCAAACCTAAAACCAGTCTTATAATTCAGAAAGTCTGGCTTATAAAAAGTTCCAAAGACAGACTTTCCAAATTGATACGGAATTATTCATACCTTTGTTTCTAAAAGTCAAAGCTGCACACATACATATCTCTCAAGATAGGAAATGAAACTTGAATGTTTCAGCTCAAACAATCAGAATAAAACAGAGACTCCCTGTCCATCAAGATTTGATGAAAGGACACAAGACACTGCAGCAACTCTTCCTGATTTTAGTAAACAGCAAACTCAAGCAACCAGAGGCTCACTAAACCACATGCAAAGATGAACCAAAGCCTTCTGAAGACACCCAGCTACATTACTTACAGAGCAGCAGCCCCAGAGATGATTTCAATCAACTCCTTTGTGATGACAGCTTGCCGAGTACGGTTGAACGTCAACGTCAATTTGTCAATCATCTCAGCTGTAAACAAAAGAAAAGGGGTAAACAGACAACTAACTAGAAAAGAGTAATTTTGGTTAAACTGAAGAGCTTCTGCTACACTTTGGATCACCAAACTGGCCTCTCTGGTCAGTAAGAATTTTATCAAGTTATTTTTACATTTCTCATAGGCTATTTTCAGTCCTTGCAAATCTACTACCTATCAAATAAGATGTACTCCCCAACAAGTGAACATACTGTTAACATTTTTGATGCTACCCTGAGCAATGTTCACCTCTCCTTTCAGCAGAGATGCAGTTGGGCTCTACGTGTTCCTGGGAGCTATGTCTAATCCCATGGTTCTAGGTTTGGGCTAAGCAAATGTCCTCTAGCACTCTATCTTGGGCTTACAAGCGTTCTTGCTGGCGTTGTCCATAGCCGTCATCCTGGCACTCTGCTCACTGGTGGTGGACTCCTTCAGGGAGTAGTAGATGATGT